CAAAAATAATGTGAACATATGTGTGTGGGTTTATCTCTGGGCTTTCTATCCTGTTCCATTGACCTATAATTTCTGTTTTTGTGCCAGTACCACACTGTCTTGATTACTGTAGCTTTGTAGTATAGTCTGAAGTCTGGGAGCCTGATTCCTCCAGCTCCGTTTTTCTTTCTCAAGATGGTTTTCACTATTCAGGGTCGCTTGTGTTTCCATACATACTGTGAAATTTTTTATTCTAGTTCTGTGAAAAATGCCATTGGTAGTTTGATAGGGATTGCATTGAATCTGTAGATTGCTTTGGGTGGTAGAGTCATTTTCACAATGTTGATTTTTCCAATCCAAGAACATGGTATATCTCTCCATCTATTTGTATCATCTTTAATTTCTTACATCAGTGTCTTATAGTTTTCTGCATACAGGTCTTTCGCCTCCTTAGGCAGGTTTATTCCTAGGTATTTTATTCTTTTTGTTGCAGTGGTAAATGGGAGTGTTTCCTTAATTTCTCTTTCAGATTTTTCATCTTTAGTGAATAGGAATGCAAGAGATTTCTGTGAATTAATTTTGTATCCTGCTACTTTACCAAATTCATTGATCAGCTCTAGTAGGTTTCTGGTAGCATCTTTAGGACTCTCTATGTATAGTATCCTGTCATCTGCAAACAGTGACAGCTTTACTTCTTCTTTTCCAATTTGGATTCCTTTTATTTCCTTTTCTTCTCTGATTGCTGTGGCTAAAACTTCCAAAACTATGTTGAATAACAGTGGTGAGAGTGGGCAACCTTGTCTTGTTCCTGATCTTAGTGGAAATGGTTTCAGTTTTTCACCATTGAAGACGATGTTGGCTGTGGGTTTGTCATATATGGCCTTTATGATGTTGAGGTAAGTTCCCTCTATGCCTACTTTCTGGAGGGTTTTTATCATAAATGGGTGCTGAATTTTGTCAAAAGCTTTTTCTACATCTATTGAGATGATCATATGTTTCTCCTCCTTCAGTTTGTTAATATGGTGTATCACGTTGATTGATTTGCGTGTATTGAAGAATCCTTGCATTCATGGGATAAACCCCACTTGATCATAGTGTATGATCCTTTTAATGTGCTGTGGATTCCGTTTGCTAGTATTTGGTTGTGGATTTTTGCATCTATGCTCATCAGTGATATTGGCCTGTAGTTTTCTCTGTGACACCTTTGTCTGGTTTGGGTATCAGGGTGATAGTGGCCTCATAGAATGAGTTTGGTAGTGTTCCTCCCTCTGCTATATTTTGGAAGAGTTTGAGAAGGATAGGTGTTAGCTCTTCTCTAAATGTCTGATAGAATTCTCCTGTGAAGCTGTCTGGTCCTGGGCTTTTGTTTGTTGGAAGATTTTTAATCACAGTCTCAATTTACAGTGCTTGTGATTGGTCTGTTTATATTTTCTATTTCTTCCTGGTTCAGTCTTGGAAGGTTGTGCTTTTGTAAGAATTTGTCCATTTCTTCCAGGTTGTCCATTTTATTGGCATATAGTTGCTTCTAGTAATGTCTCATGATCCTTTGTATTTCTGTAGTGTCAGTTGTTACTTCTCCTTTTTCATTTCTAATTCTATTGGTTTGAGTCTTCTCCCTTTTTTTCTTGATGAGTCTGGCTAATGGTTTATCAATTTTGTTTCTCTTCATAAAGAACCAGCTTTTAGTTTTATTGATCTTTGCTATCGTTTACTTCATTGCTTTTTCATTTATGTCTGATGTGATCTTTATGATTTCTTTCCTTCTGCTAACTTTGGGGTTTTTTTGTTCTTCTTTCTCTAATTGCTTTAGGTGTAAGGTTAGGTTGTTTATTTGAGATGTTTCTTGTTTCTTGAGGTAGGATTTTATTGCTATAAACTTCCTTCTTAGAACTGCTTTTGCTACATCCCATAGGTTTTGGATTATCTTATTTTCATTGTCATTTGTTTCTAGGTATTTTTTGAATTCCTCTTTGATTTCTTCAGTGATCTCTTGGTTATTTAGTAGTGTATTGTTTACTCTCTATGTGTTTTTATTTTTTACACCTTTTTTCCAGTTTTTGATACCTAGTCTCATAGCATTGTGGTCCGAAAAGTTACTTGATATGATTTCAATTTTCTTAAATTTACCAAGGCTTGTTTTCTGACCCAAGATATGATCTGTCCTGGAGAATGTTCCATGAGCACTTGAGAAGAAAGGGTATTCTGTTGTTTTTGGATGGAATGTCCTATAAATATCAATTAAGTCCATCTTGTTTAAGGCAGTATTTAAAGCTTGTGTTTCCTCATTCATTTTCATTTTGCATGATCTGTCCATTGGTGAAACTGGGGTGTTAAAGTCCCCTACTATGATTGTGTTACTGTCAATTTCCCCTTTTATGGCTGTTTAGCATTTGCCTTATGTATTGAGGTGAGGTGCTCCTATTTTGGGTGCATAAATATTTACAATTGTTATATCTTCTTCCAGGATTGATCCCTTGATCTTTATGTAGTGTCCTTCTTTGTCTCTTGTAACAGTCGTTATTTTAAAGTCTATTTTGTCTGATATGAGAATTGCTACTCCAGCTTTCTTTTGATTTCCATTTGCATGGAATATCTTTTTCCATCCCCTCACTTTCAGTCTGTATGTGTTCCTAGGTCTGAAATGGGTCTCTTATAGACAGCATATATACAGGTCTCGTTTATGTATCCATTCAGCCAATCTATGTCTTTTGGTGGGAGCATTTTATCCATTTACATTTAAGGTAATTACCAATATATATGCTCCCATTACCATTTTCTTAATTGTTTGGGGTTTGTTATTGTAGGTCTTTTCCTTCTCTTGTGTTTCCTCCCTAGAGAAGTTCCTTTAGCAATTGTTGTAAAGCTGGTTTAGTGGTGCTGAATTCTCTTAGCTTTTGCTTGTCTGTAAAGGTTTTTGCTTTTGTTTTTTTGTAAAGGTTTTAATTTCTCTGTCAAATCTGAATGAGATCCTTGCTGGGTAGAGTAATCTTGGTTGTAGATTCTTCCCTTTCATCACTTTAAATATGTCCTGCCACTCCCTTCTGGCTTTCAGAGTTTCTGCTGAAAGATCAGCTCTTAACCTTATGGGGATTTCCTTGTATGTTATTTGTTGTCTTTCCCTTGCTGCTTTTAATATTTTTTCTTTGTGTTTAATTTTTGATAGCTTGATTAATATGTGTCTTGGTGTGTTTCTCCTTGGATTTATCCTGTGTGGGACTCTCTGCACCTCCTGGACTTGATTATTTCCTTTCCTATGTTAGGGAAGTTTTCAACTATAATCTCTTCAAATATTTTCTCAGTCCCTTTCCTTTTCTCTTCTTCTTCTGGGAACCCTATAATTCGAATGTTCGTGCATTTAATGTTGTCCCAGAGTTTTCTAAGACTGTCCTCAATTCTTTTCATTCTTTTTTCTTTATTCTGCTCTGCAGTAGTTATTTCCACTATTTTATCTTCCAGGTCACTTATCTGTTTTCTGCCTCAGTTATTCTGCTATTGATTCCTTCTAGAGAATTTTTCATTTCATTTATTGTGTTGTCCATCATTGTCTGTTTGCTGTTTAGTTCTTCTAAGTCCTTGTTAAACTTTTCTTGTATTTTCTCCATTCTATTTCCAAGATTTCAGATCATCTTTACTGTCATTACTCTGAATTCTTTTTCAGGTAGACTGCCTATTTCCTCTTCATTTGTTTGGTCTGGTGGGTTTTGCCTTGCTCCTTCATCTGCTGTTTGTTTCTCTGTCTTCTCATTTTGCTTTACTTACTGTGTTTGGGATCTCCTTTTCACAGGCTGCAGGTTCGTAGTTCCCGTTGTTTTTGGTGTCTGCCCCCAGTGGCTAAGGTTGGTTCAGTGGGTTGTGTAGGCTTCCTGATGTAGGGGACTGGTGTCTGTGTTCTGGTGAATGAGGCTGGATCTTGTCTTTCTGGTGGGCAGGACCACGTCTGGTGGTGTGTTTTGGGGTGTCTGTGAGCTTATTATGATTTGAGGCAGTCTCTCTGCTAATAGGTGGGGTTGTGTTCCTGTCTTGCTAGTTTTTTCCCATAGGGTGTTCAGTACTGTAGCTTGCTGGTCATTGAGTGGAGCTGGGCCTTAGCATTGAGATGGAGATCTCTGGGAGAGCTTTCGCCATTTGATATTATGTGGAGCTGGGAGGTCTCTGGTGGACCAATGTCTTGAACTCAGCTCTCCCACCTCAGAGGCACCAGCCTGACACCTGGCTGAGCACTGGGTGTGAGCCACACAGCTCAGAAGAAAAGGAAGAAAAAAAGAATGAAAGAAAGAAAAAATAAAATAAAAAGAAATAACGTTATTAACATAAAACAATTTTTTTAATTATTAAAAATTAAAAAAATTAAAAAGTAATAAAAATAAAGGAAAGCAACCAAACCAAAAAACATATCCACCAGTGAACACAAATGCTAAAAACTATATTAAAACAAAACAAAACAAAATGGATATACAGAACCCCAGGACAAATGGTTAAAAGCAAATTTATACAGACAAAATCACACAAAGAAGCATACACATACACACTCACAAAAAGAGAATAAGGAAAAATATATATGTATCTATATAAACAAATCTACCAATGAAAATAAACTCTAAATACTAAACTAAGATAAACATAAAACCAGAAACCAGTCAATCGCATACCACAAACCCCAAGTCTACAGTTGCTCCCAAAGTCCACCGCCTCAATTTTGGGATGATTCATTGTCTATTCAGGTATTCCAGAGATGTAGGGTACATCAAGTTGACTGTGGAGATTTAATCCGCTGCTCCTGAGGCTGCTGGGAGAAATTTCCCTTTCTCTTCTTTGTTCTCACAGCTCCTGGGGTTCAGCTTTGGATCGGCCCCGCCTCTGCATGTGGGGCGCCTGAGGGCTTCTGTTCCTTTTGGGAAGTCTGAGGTCTTCTGCCAGCATTCGGTAGGTGTTCTGTAGGAGTTGTTCCGCATGTAGATGTATTTCTGATGTATTTGTTGGGAGGAAGGTGATCTCCACATCTTACTCCTCCACCATCTTGAAGGTCTCCATCAGCAATCTCCAGTGACTTTTTTGAAGATAGGAATTTTAATGTATTTTGTTAATTGCTATATCCACAGCACCTAGCACAGTGCCAGGCATATAGTAGATGCCCAATAAATATTTGTGAAATAAATGCCAGTATCACTTAGGATAAGGTCATGTCTATATCAAATGGTCAATAAATGCTTAAGCTTTGCTTTATTCAATTAAACAAACTATGTCCTATTCAGGGCACTGAATATGTGCTATTTACTAAGATTTAAATACTTAAAGAATTGAATAAATCCTCAAAGAAGGAGCTTACCAGCAGGGATTAGCAATTTTTTTCTGTAATCGTCCAGACAGTAAATATTTTAGGTTTTGTGGACCATGGGGTCTCTGTTGCTAAGAGTAAGTATTATAAGTTGAGTACTTTCTCAGCTTTGCCTTGGGAGCACAAAAGTAGCCATAAGCAGTATATAATTAAATAGGCATGGCTGTGTTCCAATAAAACTTTACTTGCCAAAACAGGTGGCAGGCCATATTTGGCCCAAGAGCTATAGTTTGCCAACCTCTGGCATATACAGTATAGTAAGCAACTCAGATACGTAAAGCCTAATTATAACCCCACTGACAATAACGACAGAAAATATGTAACACCTAAAGATGAAAGAAAAATTTAGAAAAGAAATGGGCAGAAACTATATGAAGAAACATTTAAAATTCTACTACAAATATATATATATATTATCCGTATCCTTTCTAAAAAGCTAATTTTCTGAAATTATACTTTATCTTTTGAATTTCAAGCCTATTTAAAACTATAAACAATTTGAAAATAAATAATAATTAAACAATGCAGAATTAAGTGTTAAATAACAGTATGAGCAGCATGATACACAAGCATAAGAAAATAAAGGTTAATTTGATGGGATGAAGCTTCTTTCTGGGATCAGCCCTTTGCTTGTAATGTCAGGTATGTTTCATATGGTCATAGACAGGATCACAATTGAAGATGTGAAGGGAATCAGAAGCTAGCCTCTATCCCTAATCTGCCTTGCAACTACTCACTATCCCTACTTGGTCTGAAACGCCTACAATAATTGGCAGCTATACACAAATTGGCAGCTATAAAACCATCCAATAAATTTCCCCATCTCATTGAGACAGGCTGGGATCTGGGACCTGGGATCCTTTACTGCAGTGCGTGCACCTGGGCAAACGTCAAACGTCTCCTCAAGCAACAAAATACGAAGAAACTATAAGGGACTAAAAATAACTATTGATACGTATGCAGCTGGGGCAAATTATGGACAACAAGATACTAAAAGGCCAAAACCCAACTGCCACTTCTGAGATATTGGGATCAAAAGCAGGGTACTGTGTATGATCCATGCACACAGCACCACCAAGAAAGTGGGCAGCCCACATAAGCCACCCCTCTGGCCCAACCCACCATTTCACCCTTACCCTCACCCCACTTAAGGGACCAACCACCCCTTCTCGGGTAGCAAGCAAGGGAAGCTATTATTTGTTTTTGCTCCCTCGTGCTGGAGTCCCATAAAGCCTTGCCTAAATTCCTCGTCTGGCCTCTTGTCAATTTCTATTGATAAAAGAGTGCAAGAACCCAGGTTGGTAACATCATCATCAGGGAAATAATGAACAACTTGAACAAATGTCTTGCCAAAATAATCACCATACCTCATATTTTAGAAAGTATTTGCACCCAAAGAAAAACGTATTTAAGCAACATTCATTCATTCAATGGGCATTTATTGAGCCAGGGCATTGTTTAAAATGGTAGGAATACAGTGAAAGTCAACACACGTGTGATTTTCAATCCCATGGAATTTGTATTCCAGTGGGAAAGGGGCCAGACAGTAAACAAACAAGGTCATTACAATATAATTTTTTATATATCAATAAATGTCTTAAATATAAACAATAATATAATATTTTATGGAGATTACCTAGGTAGCTATTTTAGAGCAGGTGCTTAGGAACTGTCTTTCTGAAGAGGTGGCTGTGTGTAAGCAGCCCCAAATGATGAGGCTCTACACTGCCTATGGTATTTCCTTAGCCCACTGGTCTAATGAAAAATCAAAAGATAAAACAATACTAATTTGGCCTGACTTGAAAAACCTATGTTAAGAATGAGTCATCACAACTTTTCTTCCAATTATTCACAAATAGTCATTTTTAATTACTTCAGATCCAGGTCAAGCTTATTAGCCAATTGGTTTTTATTTTTAAATCCTCTCCTTTTGAAAACTGGGACACTAACCCCTCTTTAGGATTCTGGAAATTCTCCCACACTCCATGATTTCTGAAACATTATTACCTATAACCACAGTTCTTTGATCAGGGTCATGAAATAGAAGCTGCCTTTTGATCTGGGCTTTTATAAATGCCCCTGCACTCTTCTCCAAATTTCTCTTGGACTTTAATTTCTTTCTTTTTTTTTTTTTTTTTTTTTTTTACTGTGTTCTACTCTATCCTTCTTGCTTGAAAATCATTCTTAATGGATTTTTTTTTTACTGTGTTTTAGTCTATCCTTCTTGCCTGAAGACCATTCTTCATGGAAAAAAAAAAAGTGAATCAAAGCAAAATCAAAGACCTTCTAAGAAATAAGCTCTCATTTGTTCTTTTCTATGAGATTTTTTTTTTTTTTATCTTTTGAGGCAAGTTTGATATCTCTTCAACTCTGATAATCTGCATAAACAGATCATTCATTGTCAGATCACTGTTTATTATGATCACACACACACACACACACACATATGCATATGCACACGCACATACCCCAAACCGATTTCAAAAAAATAAAATTCATCAAAGAGGGAAGCCAATATAGCTAAAGTTTTATTCACTCCAGTTGCCTTGTATGACTTTTCCCTAATTACAACAAAATGCCTAGTGGGCACAATATGCCTCCAGAAATATTTTTATTCTTTTTTTTTGAGCATGAGTTTTGTTAGCTGAAACAAAGCACTATGATCTTTCTGTGTCTCTCTGGAGCTTTCTTTCTTTCTGGCTTGATACTTTATTAAGATAAAAGGTGAACAGATTTTCCTTCATTTCTCCTTCTTACAAAAGTTGATAAGATGTGCCCGAAGTATAATATGTTTCCCAGCCTTAGGGAAGTGGCTGGGCCTTAAGCACCTGCACCCTTTCTTGTTGGCTTTCTCTGGGTCGTTAAAGATGAGTGCTTGAGTACCGGAAAGGCAAAAAAAACTCACATGAAAATAGGCTTTTTAAAAATTGAGCTAGAATTAACTGAAGGGACCATCTGAACAGACCATCAGAAAATATAAAGCTGCCTTTTTCTCATGATCTCTCAGCTGGAAGAAAGAATTTCAGCAGAAAGAACAACAGAGCCACCCATTCCACCTCGGAGAATTTATCCCCCAAAGCCAGGTGTGAAAGTACAGACCAAAGACTTATCTTCCCACTCTGCTTACTGGCCAGTTTGCTAGTCACTAAGGTTCATGTTCTCTATTCTCTCTCTCTCTCTTTTTGATACCAGTAATTTTCAAGGCTCTAAAATATCCAGGGGGGGGGCTTCCCTGGTGGCATAGTGGTTAAGAATCTGTCTGCCAATGCAGGAGGCACGGGTTCGAGCCCTGGTCCGGGAAGATCCCACGTGCCACAGAGCAACAAAGCCTGTGCGCCACAACTACTGAGCCTGTGCTCTAGAGCCTGCGAGCCACAACTACTGAGCCCACGTGCCACAACTACTGAAGCCCGTGAGCCTAGAGCCCATGCTCCGCAACAAGAGAAGCCACTGCAATGAGGACCCCACGCACCACAATGAAGAGTAGCCCCCACTCACCGCAACTAGAGAAAGCCCGCACACAGCAATGAAGACACAACACAGCCAAAAATAAGTTAATAAATAAATTCACAATAAATAAATAAATAAAATAAAATATCCAGAGGAAAGAAAAATCTCTAAGCACTTTGATTCACCATACCAAAAGCTGGCAGACGAAACGGCACAAAATTTTACTTAGAAGTGATCAAAAATTTAATACAAACCTCAAATAAGAATAGCTAACACCATTTATTAACATCTTTCTCTGGGAATGTCTTATCAAATAGAGATGCTATATAGTAAAATAAATTGTCCTTTTAGCTTTATTTCATTGGGAAATAAATTTCTCTTTTCAAATTTTTCTCTCATCAAAATGGTTTCTTTCTTCTTTTTACCATGCTTGCTTCCTTCTTTTCTTTCTTTCATTTTGGTTTTCCTTGTGAGGACAACCTACCTACACTGGTCAGGCACCACACAAAAGCAAAGGGTCACCAGTTAATCAAACTTGAGAGCCCTGACATCCTTCATCTCCTAATAAGCCATATTTATTTTTCCTAATCCAGATTTAGATTCCACTAAAACACTCCTGTGTATTTCAGGGAAGAGAATATAAATGTCAAAGTTAAGGTCTTCAAGGAAAAAGAAACATTCCCAAATTTAAAAATGATCAAAAGTTTGGAGGAAAAATAAATGACTGGGATAAGAAAAGATATCGCAAGGATCCTAATTCAGAAAACTCTCAGAAGATTATAGAGTCTACACGAGCCTCTCATTGTAAAATAAAGCAATGTGCTTTGTTCAGAGGTATAGAATTAGCCTTTAAATTATATTACAATGCATTTAAATAAAAGGACATAAATATAGACTTTTATTTCTGTTTTAGTGAAAAAGTCATTAAAATTACACTTTATTTTCAAAATTATCACAGTTGCAGGACAATTTAGGGACCATGTTATATTTTGGATAATGTGTCTTTCTCTCAGGATATAATATCTTGTGGATTGGGTCATATTTATTCCTGTACTTAATCTTAGCACCTGGCAAAGTATCTGGTAATACAACAGAAAAACAGCAAATATTTAACTGTGTTTAAGTTGTGATACCTCTACTTAAAAACTCTTCTCTTTTTTTTTTTTTTTTTGCGGTATGCGGGCCTCTCACTGTTGTGGCCTCTCCCGTTGCGGAGCACAGGCTCCGGACGCACAGGCCCAGCGGCCACGGCTCACAGGCCC